AACCCTAGGATTGCTTTTATACGATTGATGCGCTTTTGGTAACCTTTCATGCATTTTTAGGACAAAGCAGCCTAGTAGGCCACTTGGAAGACGTAGGGGATGTCGAGCCCGAGTTGCTAAATTAAGGATTCGAAGACCAGACGTCAAGGAAAAAAGGCGCATACGACGCCATTTACTAAAGAGAAAAGGCAGACCCGGTGCCGTTTTGGGAGAGTCGTCCACTTCGTCAAGAAGTTATCCCGAAACATCCTGATTCTGAGCCGCGACTAGGGGTGGAAATCGGTACGGTATCGGTATCCCAATACCAAATACCGAAATACCGAATACCGAATTACACCCTAAAATCAATCCCAATCCCAATCCCTAAATAATTTCGGTATCCCAATCCCAATCCCTAAATAATTTCGGTATACCAATCGGTACCTCGGTATCCCAATCGGTATCATCGAATACATAATTAATTACATTTGCAATTAATAATTAAATATATAAATTAAATTTTATTGTTTAATTTAGGGCATAGAGACTAAGCAAATAGTCTTGAGTTGCATAGAGCTAACATCTCAAGTTCTTGTAATTGGTAATCTTTAATTTGACGAATTTGACGTTGAGAGACGACGAATATTAGTGTGAAATAGTGATGTAATGATCTATTTATAATTAAATGACACTTTTGGTGGTTGAGGGTCGCGTAGTAGTGAATGAGAGAGTCTAGTTGAGAGGATAAAATACACACTAGCTTATATTTCGGTATTGATCGGTATTTCGGTATATACCGATCCCAATCCCGTAATCCCTAATACCGAATAACAATTGAAATTCAATCCCAATCCCAATCCCATAAAATAATACGTGTATTCGGTAATACCAAATATAGACAAATTCGGTACGGTATTCGGTATATCCCAAATACCGGTACCAAACTTCCAGCCCTAGCCGCGACCACCCTGTCTATCTGAGTATTCACTTGCTTGTATCCTGCCATATGGTCAGGTCGAGTTAGCTCGTGCTAATGGTTGCACCCTCCGTGTGCATGACCACCATTTGAAGCTGTACCTCAAGAGCGATGTGGATCTGCTCTTGGAGGCACTTGTTCTTACACTGGCCTGAGCATCCACCATTGGCGTCCAGCTAAAAGATGGTAAAGAAGCTTGTTGGGGAGGCAACCCCACATCGATTTGCATTTCTATCCTTCGGCTCTTTGATTTCTGGGGTTTGTTTGTCTTTGTTTCTATTTTGAGTCTTTTTGGAGTCTGTCCCGTGGCTTCTGGTGTAATATTTTTGCCCCAGGTTGTGTGGATTTTCAAGCTAGAGCCCGAAAGTGTTGCTTGTTTGAAATTGTGGTGGTTAGGGAGCAGCAAAACAGGATCGACAGTAAAAACACGGGCGCGGGGAGGTGAAACCCGGTTGTGTTTCCTCCTCCCTTTTTCTGTGTTCCCTAGAGCTTGCATGCTTTCTCTCGACATTAAAAATACAGGCGTGGCACTAGTAAAACACGAGCACGACCTTGTTTTACTCTGTGCTCTCCAGTGTTTTACCTCTTCTTATGGCAGCTCTCGACTTAAAAAACCACGGGCGCGACACTAAGGAAACACGATCGTGTTTTCGACTGTGTCCGCTCGTGGATCCACCTCGACTCAGTCTGTGTCTACCCGTGTTTGTCAAAAAAAAAAAAAAAACCAAAATTGCTCGCAATTGAACTATGGTTTGATTTCTCTATCACCTAGTGTGTTTTGATGACTCTAGCTCTATGCCTTTGGTCTGGTCTCCTTCCAGTCTCCTGCTCCTGATTGGTCCGCTCTCCAGTCGCCGCCTCCGTTCGCCATTTCCAGGTAACACCATTCCCCTTCCCTCTGATCCATTGAGGGCAAGGTCGAACTTAAACGTGTTGGGGGGGGGGGGTGCTTTGTGTTTACCTGAACTTTTTTTGTGCTTGGATCTTAGTCCGCTTCCCAAATCTCGAGATTTGAGGGCTCCAAGTACTGACGTTTGCTGTTTTTTTCCCTGGAAATAAGACGAGGGTTGGAGGTAGTTCTTAAAAGTTGAGCATGTTATTGCAAGGATAAAAGAATGTGTAAAAGTGGTGGTTCTCTATAAAAAAAAAGAAATGAAAGCAAAAGAGAGCCACCACAAAAATCTCAATCGTGCTTACTAGATAGTGTTTCTGAGCAAACTGGCTTGGAGATACTAACATGTTGTAACCTCCTTCACTCTTGACCTTTAAAGAACTTGACTAATGCAGAATAGCATGAAGAAAGTAATTGGGTCGAATGAATGTCACTATGTTTGGTTTTGGAACTGTGAAACCTTGTGTTATGAATTTTACCACCACCCAAAAGGCCTATTTCCATTGTCCAAGACCCTAGCCAGTCATTTGAACTCGTGTCTAAGACCTCCGGACAAGTTAGTGGCAACACCCGATATATAAACTCTAGAATTTAGAGGCTGCCGTCATGGTGAAGAGACGTTAGGGATTGAGAGTACTAGTACACATAGTCTCTTTGGATACAACCTTGCTTCCTGCTATACTGCCCTAGAACGATATGTACCCTTGTCTATTTTTCATGCATTAGTTACGAGCGATCGCCTACTTGAAAATGTGTTTTTAAGGGTACGAATAGAGCTTTTGACCCTCTTTAAATTCATTGACCCTCCACACTAAGGAGTGAAAACTTAAAAGAAGTACTCTGACATGTGATAGAGTTACAAAATTTGCTCTTGCTGAACTAATAAGGTTCGACTTTGGAACTTCATGTTGGAACCTCGCAATGAAAATGAATGAATGAAAGAAAAAGGGGTTCCAATGGATCTAAAATGAAAAATTAGAAGAAAAAAGCAACCAAAAAAATGAGGCCATGATTTTGTGTGTTTTCGAGAGTTTCTTCATTCATGAATCATCTGTCATCGAAATACTATTGGACATGCTCGGGACTAGAGTTCTCGCCGAAGGATCTAGGAGATCTTGTGTATTAGTTGACCTCGTAAGCTGCTAAATTATCTAGAAAGTTCTCTGTCGACGATGGTGGTTGCATGTTGCTATAAATATTTGTTGAGTTGCATTAATTTGAGTCAGGTTTGCTTGGGATATACAACCTGGCTAGCTCCATTTAGGGGTGGGCATTCGGTTCGGTTTCGACCGAACCGAAATTATGAATACCGGGTCCCCAAATTCTCCCAAACCCCAAACCGAATTCGAACCGAATTAAAATTTGGTTCGGTCGGTTTAAACCGAATTAAAATTCGGTTCGGTTTTATACACAAAACCGAAATTGAGAGGCTACTTGTATCTTCTCACTTTTAAATTATTTTTCACCCTTAATATAAACAATAAATATGTAATTATATGCATCCTCAATGATAAAATCAAACTTTTCAACACATAAGTAATAAAACATTTCAAATATTTAAGTCTAAAAACAAATACAAACATAAAAATCCACCATTTGAGCTTGCAATTACAGTATTTCGGTTTTTCGGTCGAAAATTCGGTTCGGTTGAAAGAACCCTGATTTCCGAAATATCCATATTTTCCTTCCGAATTCCGAACCGAATAGCATTATTTCGGTTTCGGTTCGGTTTAATTCGGTCTCGGTCTCGGTTCGGGTTTACCGAACCGGTTGCCCACCCCTAACTCCATTGGATTATACCCTACGGTGGGAGTGTGTAATAAGTCGTGAGTCAATACAACTTTAATAAACAGCCTGGCTAGTTCCATTGGTCATCCCAAGTCGAGGACAACAAAGATCGCACTACATCACACTCTAAATTAATTTGACCTGTGACATTTAATAAATTTAGCTTTATTATATAATAATAATGATAGTTTTAGGTTAAATTTGCCACCCTCAACCCAACCCTTCATCACTTTCTATCTCACTTTTTTCTCAGCATTCCTTCATCGTCGTCTCACCTCTACAATTTGTTCATCTTCAAAGTTTCCCCCTTCTAATACACAGTATCCAATCTCTCTCTCCCTCTCCATTCTTAAAAACAAAGAAATCATGAAAATAATAGAAGAAGCCATGGCTGCAAGAATGACAACAGAAAGCAATCCATGATTTGGCCATTTGGGAATAAGTGCCTTTTGTTTTCCTTCCAACCTCCCTCAAAACAATGACGTGGGGTTCAGGGTCAGGAACCAGCCAATCCGATCAGACATTCCGGTTTTCTCGATTTTGAGGGCTTCCGACTAGGGCGGCAAAAGAGCCAAGTCAAGTCGAGTTTTACCCAGTTTGAGCTCGGCTCATTAATAAACGAGTCGAGTTCGAGCTCATCTCGTTTATTAACGAGTCGAGCTCGAGCTAGCTTGTTTATCAAAATCTTGACTTTTATTTGGTACTTCATTTTATATATCATGATACATATGATTTATTTTGTTAGCTAATCTCATATTATACTTTTTGGTATCATATATCATTTAGTTAATAAATCTTAACTACTTCAAATCATGTCATTTCATAGTATCGAAGCAATCTATGATGCATAATTTCTTTTTAAAGTAGAAAATAAGATATATTTGATCACATACTCAACGTATTAAACTTTATATATGGTGAGATATATAATTTAACAACCATATGAATTAAAATCATAAGATATAGATTGATTCGTCCATAAGTTGGTAATCGAGTTGCCTCTCTAGCCACATGTTAAGACATATCATGAGCTGTAAACGAGCCAGCTCACGAGTTTAGCTCAACAAGCCACCGAATCGAGCTAGCTCGCGAGCTTCACGAACTGAAGAAAGGTTAGCTCGTGTTCGGCTCGTTTATTAACGAGCCAAGTTTCGAACGAACTTTTCTCGAGTCGAACGTCGAGCCGCTCGCGAGCAGCTCGGCTCATTTGCAGCCCTACTCCCGACCACTTTGAAAACCGGCTGTCTAGGGCCATTTATGTGCCCGGCTCTGATCAAACCTGGTGAACTGACCGGTCAGATAAGGGTTTGACAACCATTAGGATAACTCAATGAGCCGCCGTTTATGCGGCGTTGTAGAGATTATAGTTACTCGGCTCACTCCACTCTCATGAAGAGAGTTCTTTATCACACTCTCTGTTCTTCTCGGCTCCGTCGGCCCTTTTTATCCTCAACTCAACCGCTCGTCAATCGATCCCGCTCTAATTTTCAGTTCCAATTCTCCCCCCACTCCCAGATCTGGAATTTCTCTTTTTCTATCTCGCTCACCAATTCCCAATCCCTAATCTCTCCCTCAGAGGTCCTCTGCATCTCGCAACTCAAACATTCCTCGCCGAACACAAACACTTATGCTGCTGCCGGAGATTCGAAATTCCGCTCTTCTCCGTAATCTTCAAAAACCCTAAGTTTCTGTGAAGGTTTTGCTTCTTGTTCTTTCTACTTCCCGAAGTTCTCCTTCCTCCTACGAACTTACTCTGCTTGTCTGATTCGGAGCTGTGAACCATGGCGAGCGAAACCCTAGAGGAGAAAAAACCGGAGGAGGAAGCTCCAGTTGAGAGCAAAGAGGATTCCGGGCCTGAAGTGGGCAAAGAGAAAGTCGGCGAAGAGATGAAAGACAAGCAGGAAGAGGAAACCGATGAGCTGAAGGAGAAACCCCAGGAAGCAGACGAGAAGATGGAAGAGAGCGTAAAGACGGAAGGGGAGGAACACAAGGCAAACGATAAGGAGGACGAGGAGAAGCAAGAAGATAAGGAGGAGAAAGAGGACGAGGAAGAACCGAATTCTGAAGTTGCCCCTGAAAAAGTTGACAATGAGGATGAGCCAGCAGAGGAAGATGGTGGAGACATAAAGGAGGAGGCGGAAGAAGAGCAAGATAAGTATGATGGAGATGCCGTAGATGTTAAGGAAGAGGAGGAAGCAGGGAGTAAGCAAAGTCAACGAGGTGCTGCAAATATAGGTGAAGAGAAGACTCCTGATCCTGAAGCCACCGAGGAGAACCAGAGTAAGGAATCCGTTGACAAGAAAGAAGAAATTCCTGAACAAGGAAGGTCTTCTGCAAGCCAGCCGTTGTCCATTGAGAAGGTGCTATCCCATTCTGCTAATCCTTTTGAGGTGTTCATTAATTTCTTGGTTTGTCTGATTATTGATCAAGTGTTGCTCTTTGTGCAATGCAGGACCGGGTGACACATCCGAAGGATATTACTAATGGTAAGTTTTTCCAAACCTCTGCGATGGATGGACATTTATGATTGCCATCTACCATTTATTGTGGTCTCAATTAGTTGGATTTTCTAATTGATAGATATGTACATCTACTGAAATTTTCGCGATGGTATAATATGAAAAACGTTTGCTCGTAGTCAGAATATGCTGATAGATTGACTTACCTGTATTTGCACCAGAATTGATTAAATGCTTCATATTATCCTGTTAGAAAATTCATACTTTTGAGAGTTTTGCACCCTTATAATAGGTCTTTCTCCAATATCTTCAAGGCAATATCTGGTTGGTGATGATTCCTACACACTTACTGCTTCCTAAATCATGACCGCGTTCCTGTCTTCTCTATACCTCTTACTTCCTAACTATGAAAGACTCAGAAATTGAAGTTATCATAGATTAGCATAGAGAAAATAGTGTCTACGCATATTCATTGTAAACAAAGAGCTAGTCTTCGCTTTCCTAAGTAGTTTTATTAGCTTGTAGTTGAGGGCGGGGTCAAAAAGTGAATAGTTGAATCGAAAAGTCTGCTGCTGTCGAGATGCATTTTGCTAAAACATTGATGGTTCTAAGTTCTAACACACTTACTACTTCCATTGACATGACTGGTTTTTCAAGGTACCAGTTGAACTTGTAGCATAACATTTAAGGTACAACCAGTTTGTACCATAAAAGAATTTGTACCTTCATGTTATGGTACAAATTCAGTTTGTACAAAAAGGTATAAGTACAATCTGAATTTGTACCATAATGTTAAAGGTACACGTTCAGTTTGTACCATAAAGGCAAAAAATCAAAGCACCGATGCTATAAAACATTGTAAAAATCCTCATTTATCATAACCAAAGAACAAGTGTTCACTTGTCCCTCGAGAAAAAAAGATAGCTATTGTTCACTCTCCTAAAGAATTTTCTTAGCGTATAGCTGAGGGTGGGGACAAAAAGTGAAAGCATTTTGCCTTATTTTTTTTAACCCTGGCCATTGGTCTTTCTCCCTATCTATATCCCATCCTAATTTCCAGTTCTAATTCCCCCCTCCCAAGTCTGAAATCTTTCCTTTTATATCTCGCATCACAATTTGCAATCCCTAATCTGTCCAAAGTTCATCTGTATCTCGCAACTCAAACATTCCCTGAAGGAGATCCCACCACACAAACATTTTGATATGGAAGGGCCAAAGTTCCTCTCTTTTTTTTAGTTTTCTGTGAGGGTTGTTGTTCTTTTATTTCCTGAAATTTCTCCTTCTCTTACCAAGTTACTCTGCTCGTTTGATTCAGACCTGTGCTCCATGGCAAGCGAAATCCTAGAGGATAAAACGCCAGAAGAGGAATCCCCAGTAGAGGGCAAAGTGGATCCTGAGCCCAAATCGGTGGAACAGAAAGCTGACGAGGAGATGAAAGACATACAGGAAGAGGAGGACAGGGAGATGATAGAGAAGCCAGTTGAAGTGGGTGAGAACATGGGAGACCAACAAGAGGAAGAAAGGTTAAAGAATGAAGACGAGAAACATAAGGAAAACAATGAGGACGACGAAAAGCAAGAAGAGAAAGAGGAGCAGCCGATTCAAGAGAACAACGAGGAACAGAGTTCTGAAGTTCCTCCTGTAATGGTTGACAAAGGAAATGAGAACGAGCCAGCAGAGGAAGATATGGGGGAGAAAAAGGAGGTTGAAGTAGAACAAGATGAGGATGCTGAGGATGTTGAGGAAGAAGATGATGGAGAGGAAAAAGCTGAGAGTAATAAAAGTAAGCAAGGAGCTTCCATGAGTTCTACAAATAAATTTGACAAGAAGTCTCTTGAAGCCACCCAGGACAAGCAGAAGAGTAAGGAATCCATTGACAAGAAAGAAGCTGTGACCCCAAGCAGTGACAGGCCAACCAGAGAGCGGAAGACGGTGGAGAGATACTCTATTCCTCAACGAGGGAGGTCTTCTGCAAGCAAGCCATTGTCTAGTGGCAAGGTGCAACCCCATTCTGCCCTCCAATTCTTGGGGTCTTCATCAATTTCCGACTTCACGTGATGTTCTGATCAAGTGTTGTTCTTTGTGCTATGCAGGGCCGGGGGACACCTCTGAAGGATATTCCTAATGGTAAGCGTTGGTGGGAAATTGTATGTTTGTTAGTTTGTCGATTGTTTGAACATCTCTCAAGTGAGCGAGATCCATATTCTTATACCCTGCTAATCATTTGTGAAATTCTTGGTGTAAATTTTATGGAATCATTGTCAGATGCATCTGTCTTGGGATACTGGGTCTTCTTCTTCTCGTAGATGTCTATTGGTCCCCGTAATATGCATTTGTGATTGCCAGGTGCCATTTCTTGTGTTCTTAATTAGTTTATTTGCAAATTGATAAACATGTACATCTTCGTTGCCGTGGTTAATTAGGAAATAGGTTATGTTTGTAGTTTGAATATGCTGATAGATTAATTTACCCGTAGATGCACCAGAATTAAATTGTCCATTGATGTTCTAGGAAAAATCTGGATGTTGATGGTTCAGCGCCCACACCCACCCCCCTCCAAAAATAAAAATAAAAACACAGGCCCACATATTTTGGTATTTAGGCAGAACAGGAAACTCATTGGCCTTAAATTCTTCATTTCTTGAACTTGGTCCCTCGCTAGTCTGATAGGTGTGGTTGATTGCTCTATTGAGGTCAGTGGTTAGCTGTTAAGGGTCCTCTGTACATGTGGGTGTCAGTCTTCAAACATTTCTGATAGAAGAGAAGTCTGATGAGTTATTTTTGTTCTCCATGAAGTACATATATTATCATTTTGCTCTGATTTCCGTTGTATGTCTCTGCAATCATGTATTCCTCAGATATTGAAATGTTAAGTTCATTCCCAAATGAAACCTATGGCGAACTAGACTTCCATTACATTTTTTTTGTATGCAGAATACTGTATTTTTTCCGGCTTAATATTGGTAATAATATTACGGTTTATCAAACTCTGTTTTTAGAGCAGATTTGGCTTTTTTTTCTTGTCTGATATATTGCACTGTTTCAGTGGCGTTCAAGTTGTCCAAGAGAAAAGCTGATGAGACTCTGCAGATCCTTCACACTTTACTTTTTGGAAAGAAAGGAAAGGTGTGGCTGGTTTTAGTAGTTTGACCTCCTGGTTCTCATGTCTTGTTTTCTTAGTAGGATTGCCTGCTATCTGTTACTGTGGTGTTAACCTTGTATTTTTTCCATGTTTCTCAAGGTGCAAAGTGTGAAGAGAAATATTGGTCAGTTTTCTGGCTTTGTGTGGACTGGGAATGAGGTGTGCCATCTGTTAAGTTTTACATTTAACTAAATGAATTTGTCTGATGGAAAGCTCTTTATGCAAAGTCTTGTCTGAAGCTTGATATTGATTCTGGTTGATGATTTCTTGCCCTCGTAATAGAAAAAACAGAAGTCAAAATTGAAGGAAAAGCTGGACAAGTGTGTAAAAGAAAAGCTCATAGATTTCTGTGATGTGCTCAATATTCAAGTAACTAGAGCTACAGTGAAGGTCAGTTGTAACTGGCAACGTTATTGTTTTCTAGTGGGAATTTATGAATTCATTGCTTAATTGGACAATGTTTTTAGGAAGAACTCACTGTAAAAATCTTGGACTTCTTGGAATCGCCTCATGCTACAACTGATGCTTTGCTCGCTGATAAGGAACAGGTATCCCTTTCCTGCGTTCATCTGTCTACCATTTTACCTAGTTTCGGTTTTGTTTCTTCTGGTAATATTCAATCCTATGTTCTGCTCCAGAAAGGTAAGAAGCGAAGGTCAATAACTGGGAAGAATTCAAGCCCTGATGAAGCATCAGTTACACCAGCTAAGGTTAGTTTGTCTGCTATTAATGGGAAACTTAGTATGCTATAACTGTTAAGGGTTTCATTTTTTGCAGTAATGAGCAAACTTGGTACTACATTCTGGTAGTAGCTGTAAATATTTCCCAAGCCAACATGTTGATCCCTTTCTCGTGTGTGCAAGATTTATTCTTCACCCACTTTCATGACGAGTGTTCCTTGCGATTATATCTTTCACTTATCTTGCACGACCATTCATATTAACTTTCATGGAACAATGATGGATCATTATTACTGTTGAATTATATATGTTTCAAATAGAGTGGCATTACTTTTAAAGATGAAACTTCTTCTGTATGATGAGAGCAAGTTTGCTTGTTTGGGTCTAACTGTTGATATAACTCCAGGGAACTATGTGCCTTGGTGAATGATTTTTGGTTCCCCCCGTTTGGGTAGTTATGTCTTTCAATTTATCTTGTAGAGGCAAAAACAGTCTTCCCAGGCCGAGGAAGATAAAAAACGCTCTCCCAAAGATGAGGAAGAAGATGAGGATGATGATGAAGATGAATCTGCAGATGCTCGTGAGGACTCTCAAGGTGACGACGCTGGTGAGACTCTGCTCAAAGATGAGAGTGACCAGGATGAGGATAACTCGGATGAATATGAACCAAAAAAAGAAACACCAACTCAAAAGTCTTCATCTAGAAAACGTGTAAAGGATACCTCAAAACCCAGGGAGAAAGCTACACCTGTCAAAAGCAGCATCCCTACAAAAAGTGCATCGAGGTCTAAGAAGTCATCCACTCCCTCAGCTAAACCAAGTGCAGACACTGATAAGGGTTCTGGTTCGGTTTCTAAATCCAAGGGATCTACATCTAGGAAACGCAAGGCTGAAGTAGAAGATGTTTCAAGAAAGGAAAATAGCATGAAAAAGCAGTCAGGCAAGTCAATGTCAAAAGCTCCTGCAAAAGGTAAAGTTGGGTTTCATAAGTATGCACGGGCTTCGCAGTATGATTTTTTTGAGCAGTGAATTGTTATGGGAAGAGAAAATGAAATGCTGTTCTTGCTTTTCGGTCTCTTTATTCATAGTTTGTGCTTACCTGGTTATTTTTTCCCGGCTTGAAAATTTGGGAAAGCAAAATCTAGCAAGCTTCTGAATAGAGGAAACGAACTGCTATTGTCTCTGCTTTTAAAGTTTTTGCTTACCTTTTTTACCTGCTCGGAACTTAGCAGAAGGAAAGTCTCGCAAGAAGGCCAAGGCTGAACCCACTAGAGATGAGTTGCATGCAGTTATTGTTGATATTCTGAAAGAAGTTGATTTCAATACAGTGAGTAGTCGGTGCAACCTAGTATTCCATTTACTCATTGGTATTTCCCAGCATTGCATTGTTGCCTAAAACCTTTCTTCTGCTATGAACGTGCAGGCAACTTTTACTGATATTTTCAAGCAACTTGGTATAACTTCCTTGTTCCTATATCTGGCTCTTCTGTCATTCTATTTCTAGTCTATTTCTATATCTTCATCTCTCTCTAACCATTGAGGTTTTTTTTTGTGGCTTCACCAGGTAAACACTTCGGTATAGATCTAATGGACAGAAAAGCTGAGGTGAAGGATGTCGTAACTGAAGTTATAAAAAAGATGGCTGACGAGGAAGATGAAGACGATGAGAATGCCGACGAGGCTGGTGGGGATGCAGACAAAGATAGTGAAAGTGATGATTAGTTAGGGCTGATACAAGAGCTTCTCTCAAGACGAAGGGCATCAAACGGTGCTTATTTATAAACAGAAGTGATGGTAAAAACCTCGGCAGTAAACAGAATCGAAATAGCCAACTAGGGTTTGTTTGTACCATTATATCCTCCTAATCTGTTGCTTGTTTCTGGAAAACAAGTGGTGTTGAGCTGACACTGAATGGATAGTTGTTCTGTTTGACCAGCTCTCCCTACTTCGTTACTGGTAGTTTAATTGCCTTTTCAGTTAGATGTATTGGCTGACCGTCTCTGCCACAGCAAATGAGTAGTTAATCTATTTGTGTAAAGTCGATGTGGAGCTGGAACAAAATAGTAAATGTTAACTTATTTGCTTAGGTAGTCGTTTAGTTGTAGCTTTCTGTAACATGGAAGTTGGAACCTCTTCTTTCGTTGGATATTCGTAGACTTAATTGATCACCTGTTTCACTTTTTTGATCATGCCGCTACTTTCATTTTTAAATTTCGACAAGCTTGTCATCATACCATATGCAGTATGTCGAAGGATCTCCTCAACATCCTTGCGGTAAGTCTCTTGGTACTTTGCAAACAACCTCTTTTTTCTGGTTGGTTGGATTCCTAATAGTCTTCACAAATATGGCCCGCTCATGGTAAATTCCATCAGCCAAGTAATAACATTGATTGTATATTTTACCATTGACCTCAAAATTGACATTGGGAACTAGTCATCGTACTGCTTGATCATAAAGTGGGGATGCCAATAGTGTATTGATGTCATTCTTCGATCCAGATGTTCTAGAGAAGGCATGTCAAATCCATGTGTCATATGATGCTATAGCTTCGAGGACAATGATTGATATCTTCTTATGCCCAATGTATTGGCTTGCCCTCTCAGTCGAACAGTCTTCTAGTGTATGTCGTCAATAGAACAAATCATGCCCAAGAAGCCACATTGTGCAGCATGATCAAGGAGGCAACGAGTATCTTCCACTGTTGATGCACGCAAGTACCGAGCACCATAAATGTTGATGTAGTCGAGTAGAAATTACTCAAAACCTCCAATACATTGCTCTCAACCATTAGACAGGTCTCATCCAAAAAGTCTATTGACTCGCGGCCTATTACACAATCCCAAACAAAGGCCAAATACAACCTACTATCGGTTTTAGTATGGAGCAAATATATTTCAATTATCAAACCCGAGCGGTTTAATCATCCTTACCTAAGAAAACTACAAATTATCTAGTAGTAGAAATGTTACCTATTAAACTAAACAAACAAGTAAAATGTGGTTGAATTTAAGTGAGAATGCTTCACTAGGATGATTATCCCCCTAGTCTCGTGTTGAGATGATTGATCTCCTAATTCTAAGTGCGACTACTTAAGGCAAGTGTACCTGTTGTAGAGGCAATATAGTGGCAAACAAGATTGTATTCCACGGAGACTATGACTACTAGTGCTAATTTATATTTCTTATTAATTAAACGATCTCTTTTTAGTTTCTTTCAATGGACTAAACTAACGAAGAAGACAATAAAATTTTGCGAAGACAAGAACGTGGTCACGAGACAAATTCAAGCAGAGATAGGCGTTGTTCAGACTTCGAGTCTCCCTAGTTGATTTCGACCTTTCAGCTGACCATGCATAGACTTGATGTGAGATTCTTTGACCATAGGAATTCCCGAATTGGTGTTAACCCGATATTATCATGTATTAACACACTATTAGTCAATTCACTCTATGTATGATATTCTCTTTGAGCTAGATTGATTCTCCTAACGATTATTTCTCTATGAATGCCACTGTTAGGTTTTGCCCTAATCGAGAAGTCTCTCTCCCTCAATATTCTAGTAAGAAGAGGTCATTTTCATCTATGTGTGTTCTAACGCATCTATGGGGATCTTTTCCTCAACATACACACGAACATGCGAACATGCAAGTATGCAATAGGCGTGCAACTTAAGCAAACCCGAAACATAATCCATAGATAAATCAAAGATCATAAACATCCAAATCCATGCATTTTCCATTAAATTAGTATCATACAACTAGGGTTCATCTAATCCAAACAACAAGGTAGGACTAGTTCATGGCTAATGGAAAAACAAACAAAGGATAGAAAGAAGAAACGATTTCCATTATGGCGACTTGATCGGGTGCTCCAAGCTGAATCCTTTGTGTTAGGATGGATGGGAAACCTTCTTTCCTCCTCTCTAACTCATTCTTGTTCGATTTTACGGTTTTTTGCTGAACTCCTCTCTTCAATCCGATTAGAGACGCTTAAATAAACAAGGCACAGGGTCGTTCACGGGTGCGGTCACGACAGTGGGGCCACCCGTGAACTAAACCCTATCCCGATAGTTAAATGATCCGGTGTCGCTTTGGGGCCGTCTTGAAGATTTCTTCACGGCCCGGGTCACAGATGTGGGCATAGTCGTGAATCGCTGGGAATGAATTTCTTCTTCCTCCTCAACTCCTTTTCCTGCATATCCACGATCTGAACTGGGACCTCCGCATACGTGAAATCATCCTCCAATTTGATATCTTCATGCCTAATCACATGCTCAGGGTTAGATCGATACGCCCTTAGCATGCTAATATAGAAAACATCGCAAATCCTAGATAAGCTGAGAGGTAAAGTTAGTCGATAGGCTAAGGATCCCACACGCTCCAACACCTCGTACGACCTGATATACCTAGGACTAAGCTTTCCCTTCTTTCTAAATCTCATCACTCCCTTCCAAGGAGACACCCTAAGAAACACCATTCACTCACCTCATCAATGAGCTGGTTGCCTGGACTCTCGGCATTACTCTTCTACCGGTCCTAAGCCTTGGCTTGCACTTGATGGGTATAATATGGGCCAACTTTGAAAATGGATCCCCTCACTAACCCATACTCCATCATTCCACCGTTACTCGTCAAGTCATACACAATATAGATGGTGATCTTCTCCCAAGTTTACTGCGGAATCTCCATTGTAAGTTCTCAATGAGTAGGGTGATAAGAATGAGAGAAAATCACGAGAAGGATCGGTGAACCTCGCTTAGTTAGCCACTACCACTAGGGATCCCTACCAGATGATGATACGTTCCGCGGTTGTGGGTCAGGCGTGGAGCCAGACGATGACGAGTTTCGCAGTCACTATTGCCTAGATTTAGGTGTACTACCAGATGGTGATACGTTCCACAGTAGACATACTATAGTTGACACCTGATGGTGCTACGTTTTGCGGTGGTCAAACTCAAGTGAGGCTCTCCATTGTGAGGGTAACCATTTTTAAGTAACTAAGGCTAGTAGTGGTGTCATCTAAGTCAAGGCAGGGGCCCCATAGTAAGATGAAGGACGAAATACTACGTTGGTTTCTTTAACCTTTTTGACCACCTTTTATTTATTATTTTTGAAAAAAAAAATCATCTCACCCTCACTACACAAAAGATGTATTGAACCCTTTCCAGTTGGTCTCTTTAACCTTCTTGACTACCACTTTATTCTCGATCAATTTGAGCGGCGATGGCCATCAAGTCCTTCTTTCCCTCAGCCTTGGACGCAATCTTTCTGGCTTCCAATTCCTCCTTAGTCGTTGATGTAAGGGGTATCCACAGATTCATCGAATTTGAGCATGGACTTCCCTTCAGTGTCTTTCTCCTTTACTTCCTAGGAAAGAGCGACGCAGAGCCCGTATTCGAGGATGATTTTGTCCTTGGGAATGTTGACATAGGCCTCGCAGTCGAACTTCTCGATGTTCTTGGTACGGATGAAGAAGTTTCCTTTGTTGGAGAGGAGGGTGAGGTTAGCGAGGAGATTGGAGAGGAGGTTGCGAGACCATTTGAGGCATTGGTTGGAGCTCATCAGAAGTTGTGAATTGAGAGTTCAACTGGGAATCGCAAGGAAAGGGCGTCAATGGAGGCGGAGATTGTAAAAATTAGGAAGACAGAATGAGGATTAGAGAGTGCAAGCTAAATGGACGAATTGGGTGACCGAATCCAACCTTTCGCCTTCTGTAATTTTTTGACTGAGATGAACTCTAATTTAATTCCTTTCTTCTATTGCCCCTAGCTCGACGACTCTCCCGCCTTCTTGGAGCTGCTCGACGAAAATGACCCTTTCGAGCAGCAATGACTTCTACTTCTTCCAATTTGCAATCAACTTCTTCCAATCCCCTCCTCCACCGCCTTCTCCATTTCCACCTTCTTCTTTTTTTCGTCCGAGTACAAGTAGATCAATAGTGGTGCTTCTGCCAAGTTCTTCATGATTTCCTTCGTCGAGTCCCTTTCAATCGTCCAACTTCTGGGCAACAATCCTTTTGTCTCCATCGCCTCCTACTCCTTCCACCGTGGTGGTCAATAAAGCAAAACTATTCTCCGCAGGCGCCTCCGCCGTCGATGTACCGCCTCTAGAGAACCTCGCTTCCTCTTACGAAATTTCTACCTCCATAGCAGCTTCCCCCTTTCGTCGTATCCTCGAGGGAGACGATGTGGGAAGTAGGGAGAGTACTAGGGACGAATGTTTAGTTTATTCATTTTATCAGAAAATAAAAATTGTTTGGTAAAATGATATAATATCCATGTGGCGTAGTCAAATGTTTTATTTCATGTCACATCATAAATAACCATCCATCTCATTTAATATTTTGCCATGTCATAGTCAACTAACGGTTGACCGGATGGAAATTTAACGGTTTGGGTTGTAAATTATTTTTGAAAAGGTTTGACTATTATTTTGCTTAAAATGAAATGTTTGACTAATATATTATATTTACCCTATATGAAAGTAGAAGTAATTTTGAAGAGCACAATTAATTTATTTTTTTTGTTTTTCTTTATTTTGATATTATAGCCTATTAAAATTTATTAAGTAGAAGTTAGTAACCTTCCATATATAATAAATAGAGATTATGGATGGTTGTTCGACCAACTTTCCCATTTAGCCGGGTCTGGATCAGGTCGGTAACCTTAGGGTCAGTAACTAGGCCTGTTAGTCGATGCGGTTAACCGGAGCCGAAAGCGTCGCTGAAACTGCAACCGTAACTGCAACCGAAGAGAGCTTCGGTTAACCGCTAACCGCGACCGACAATTTTGGTTTGTCTCTACGGTTAGCCGAGACCGCTGCTCTTGCTGTCGAGGGCGGATGTTCTGGGAGCGGCGAATAGTTCTGGGAGGGAGGACAACGACGACGAGTTTTGGGATGGAGCATGGCAGCTGCGACGATGAAGGAGGTGCGACGAGCTCGCTAATCGCTATGATGGCGTGAGTTTGTGGACTTGATGGCGACTATGACAGCGGTGACGAGATAACCGACGAGGGTAGGCCGCAGGGGGGTGAGGATGACGACGATAGGGTTGGGGAGGAAGCGTCACTCTTTTGCGATTCAAGCTTCGCGATTTAGGTCGGTAAATGGGGGTGAGAATTATACTCATTTGATTTCGGCCGAATCCCCCCAAAACGACGCCGATGGTGGCTGTGTTGCGGTTGTGCTGTTAACCACCATAGTTGCGGTTATAACCCGCTAACCGCCACAGTTGCTTCAATCCCGATGACGGCAAACCGCAACCGAAAACCGCAAACTGGTAACGGTTTTCGGTGAACCGTTAAACCGACGGTTTTCGGTGAATCATTAAACCGCCGATTTTGGTT